ATTTGCTATCAGAAATGAGTATTTTCTTCTGCGCTGCACTAACCAGGGCCTCATGTAAGAAGTACTGAGAAACATCAGAAACCACAAATCAGACAACGTCAAGGTGATGACCTTAATAAAACATAGTCATGATTAGAGCGATAGGACTGGACCTGAATTCAGCCTGGACCATCTGGTAGCTTATTGTGAAGTTTGGTGATCATCACAAGGTATAGAACCCCAAAAGATTGCGAAGACTAGCCAACGATTTGCTGCGCGGTTGCCACATCCCCATGGGTGCCGTGATTCAGTGAAACCCTTAAAATAAATCTAATTAATGTGAAAGTAACTGATGGAGTATACCTGTTGTCATTTTCTGAACAATTAACACTGACTTACTTGAGTACTTGGCAGCAGTACCTCAGCATTACGTAACCAGATCAGCCACAGGTGCTTGATCGTTGATGTGGTTCCAACTTTGCGACCTACAAGTGTAAGTAAAGGATCACGATTAGCCTGAGTTATAGAAACAAGCATTCACCGCTTATGCTTAGTACTGTCAGGTGCTTTAGGAGAAAGTGCCCCTATGGGAAAGATGACTTTCGTGACAGAGCCTGCTTTGTGGGTGTCGCTTATTAACATCTTTTGCATTTTGCAAGATACGCAAATATCGTAATTTAAGATGCTATATGCAAAACTTTTTATGATCAGAATGCAGGACTAATATTTCACTACCGCCATATGTAGAGAAACTGCAGCACCTGATCAATGACAAGGATATATTATTGATTTATGGATAACATATTTAGCATAGCAGAACTGACATGAAGTTCACAGCTGTCATATTTCAGGGACTGTCTGATGAAGCAAAGGCACACAACAACGGTTGTCTGGCGGGTGTTGCTCGCATGTCCATCAGATTGGGAGACATCCGCAGGTATTTAATTAAATTACCTAATTGGCAGTACGCTACTTACAAGCTACCAGGGGATTTCAAATCGCTAAGGAATGCAATAGCCTCAGTTTGATGAGAGAATGCGCTTCATTGCTAGAGGAAACGAAGGTGAAACATGCAACAATTATTGCTGTAACAAAGTTTATCAGAATGTGTGAGTATTGTGTTTGCTAGAATTATAACGACGCAGCCCTGCTGTATGAAAATGGAAAATTTTTCGACAAAGCGGCTGCAGTTTTTGCGAAAATAAACAAATGGTAAAGTAGCGTTTTGCATTGAAGCGACGGTTTCCATCAATGCATAATTTTCAGGGAAAAAGTTGAAGAGCTTTTGCCGAGTGTGCATTGTTTCAGCATCTATAAGCAATACGGCCAGGCAATGGAAGTGCAGAGGAAGTATGAAAAATCCGTAGATGCCTACAAATGCGCTAAAGATTATGAAGATGCAGCTAGGTAAAGTTGGAGTTTGCTTAATTATACAGCTTATTTATCCGCTCTCTCAAGGGTTCTTCTAAATTCGCTTAAAAAACCTGAAGAAGCTGCCATTTTGGTGAAGGAACATAAGTGTTTAGAAGGAACCAAGTTACTAGCAAGGCAAGTTATTTTACTCATGTTGTTTTAAAATTTTAAATGAACTATAATAGGTTATGTGGATGATAGATCAAGCTGACAGTAGCCACCTCTTCTTCACCATAACCTGACCATATCAAATCATCATAATGCCAATATGTTGCTCAGATCACCGATTTATTGCCTGTTGTGTAGATTCCCAGGTGGAGCAAATCACTCCGTTAATAAGGAAATCCTACATTATAACTGAGATGCCAACCCATTTCATTAGTGTACAGAAACAATGACAAGCCACTTATAACATTAATTCACGTAACGCGCATGTATATCTTATGGAAATTTCGAGCTGAACTCGATATTCATTCAAAATACAAGTTCTGCCTGTATTGATACAATACTTATTGATAATACTGTTCGTATCTGAATTAAGAAACGTTTCAGCAAGGCCAATGGGCATAGTATCCATGGATTTAATAGCAGCGAAATCAACCAGGTTTCCCGTGACGATGTGGCAGTTCTGATTGTGATTGTCCGGGCAATGCCTTCAATTTCTTCAGTATTTCTTGGATTGTCTACTGCATTGACAAGGAATGCTAGGAGTCTTCTGTAAATTTTTGGATACATGTATAGCGGATGCAACAAACGGTACTCTATATCAGTGGTATCACGATAAGAAATATACCTAATCTTCTGTAGATCCATTCAAACTTTGAGGAATGTTGAGATTCATCGAGTTCATTTTATTCATTGTCAAATCAGATATCAGCGCGTGGGCTTTTCTTCTCCAATAATCTTTGCGTGCAAGTACTGCTAAGTGCTGCTGGTTGTTGATTAAAGAACTCATTTGGACATTTCAGTACCTCACGTAGCTGTTTCACTGTTTTTATCCTACCACTGAACAGTTCTTTTAGAAACGTTGATTATGAGTTAAGTCTATGAGCATGCCATGATTTCAGTATTTTATTAAGGAAGGAATGAATTCCCATTAAAACTTGACATGATGTGCCAATTTATCTATGTTCTTGCCACTGAGCCAATGGCGTGACGCTTACTTGAAATTACAGATATAAAATCGTACCTCATTCACTTGAAGAAATGACACTTTGGAAGCGAGCTGCTGTCTGCCTCATCAATTTTCGTGGTTTCTCTGCAAATGGAAAACGTCGACATAGCACTGCAATGTTGATCGTACAGTAGCAAATGAAAAATGTCATTTAACTCTGATTGATGGGAGAAAAAATGTAGAAATTTCCACAAAGTTGTTAATTCTAGTATTTCTAAATCTTAAGCACCAAATTGATAAGAGAAACAATTTTGTTATATTTTCCATTCAACCTTAAAATATGTCACATTTGTCCTCTACCTCATTCAAAGGTTGTTACCCCATGTTCATAATTAGTTGATGCACGTGATAACTCCTGAATTTTTTGTTGTTTCGTTTTCACTTCGTTTATTATTCGGAAGTCGAGAGGCAGAAAAGGATTGTAAACTGCTGCAGAAAGAACACTTGCCAAAGCCTGCATTTTTAGAGTTAATTTCCTATACTTGCTGAGGCATTCAGCTCAAGTTTTATAGGCTCGAAGCATTTTTCATCATGCCATTACAAAGCAACACTTATTTCATTCTCCTACACGAAGCTTGACTACATTCCACGGATGATGAGAACCTCCTCAGTTTTGTTACTTTTTTGTTTGTCCTGGGTGAGTAAAATCATCTAGCGGTGGTATGATAATGTGGATCAACTCGACCTGGCGTGGAAACTGTTCCTTGATGTTTTGCGAAGACCAACAGCAGTGTTTCATCACGGAGTTCAAGGCAAGGTTTATCGAAAAACAATTGGTCCGCATCCGGAGTCTTTTGAAATTGCTTTTCGACTTTGTAACTAAGGCGCTAACATGTTTCGATGACCAGATGCTTAATTAAGACAATGGTTGCTCTAAGCAGTGCAATTCCAGCCGACCAAATTCACTAGCAGTACCGTTATTTTCAGCCGTGCCTACTGCAGTGACCAAGCAAAAGATCCGTGTATGTTCCGTGCTGGCGCCGGACTGAGGTTTGCCGAAAGTCGGTCGGCCCGATTTCTGTCCGTTGTCTAATGGACTTCAAGAAAGAAGAACAGTCTTTTTGGACAAGATTTTGAAACAGCTTGTAGGGGTCCATTGTTTACTGCTCGGTTTGTTGTCTTGTATTTGTTAATTTGCTATATCCAAGTTTTGGATATATCGTTTGCTTTAGGGTTCACTTAATTACACATGAATGAATGACTGATTAAACCAGATAGAGTGAAATTTGCACAATGCTTATTTAGGGGACAACAAGAAAGACCGTCTACAAACCTTCATTCTGTGAGATATGTTTAAGTAGATTTTATTAACATTTACTTACATGGCATACTGTGCACAAATATCCAGGGAATTAAATCGTTTAAAGGTCAATTGGTATCTTTCTTTAAAAAGAAGACCTCGGTTTGATAGTGATTGTTCAGCAATACGTATTTCGGTAGCGTGAAAGTAGTGAGTGATAGGCGTTTTTAGATACTTTTTGAAGAAAGGCGATTACGCTTCAGCTGTACAGTTTCTGGTGTTGGCAGATGATTTTCAGGAGGCTTTCAAGTTAGCGGTAAAACATGATCAGGTTGCAACGTATGCTGAAGCGTTGGGTACGAATTAATAGTATGTAGTGCTTTCTTATTGTCAATACAACATTTAGGAACTAGCGGCACCGCGGAAGAGTACCAACATATTGCCGAGTACTTTATACAGAGACAGAACTACTGCATGGTAGGGAAGTACCTGATGATGTGCAATAAATACGACGAGGTACAGCTACAGAGGAACAGCCGGTTTAAAAATGAATGAATGCGCAAACTGTTATTTCAGGCATTAGATTATTTGATGAAAAACGGAGACAGCAACGAATCACTTGAACTGGCGGTGGATTGCGTTGGACGTGCGAAAGACGACGCCATGCAAAAGAAATTGATCCTGTTTCTACTTGGCGAGGTCGACGGTTTGCCGAAAGTGAACAGAGATATTCATGAAAGTATCAAATGTTCTACAGCTATCCGCATACAGGATCCTCAACACATATTTCGCTTATACACGGTGTTAAACATGCCGACGGAGGCTGCGAAAACTGCCATGATTATAGCACAGCAAGAACAGATGAAAGGTCAGTTATATAAAAATGATTAACAACTAAAAAACGAGTAATATATTTGCAGGAAACTACCGGAAAGCGCGCGACCTCCTCTTCGAGATGTACAGCGAGTTAATGAAGAAAAACATCAAAATACCTCAGGAGCTCCAGAATAATCTGATGCTAATTCATAGCTATCTGTTAATCAAGGTAACATGAATAATTAATATGGCACGTGTTTGTGCATAAATGTCATTACAGAGCCTGACCAAAAGAGGAGAAAACATGCTTGCTGCCCGAATGCTGATTCGAGTGGTCAAAAACATTAGCCTATTTCCCACGCGTATGTTTTTGCTACGATGCATATGTTGCAAATTCAGTACATGTTTGCATGATTACTTCCCATGTTGAAATCTGATGATAATAGTCTATGTCATTCCTTCGCCTACCCTTCTTTCTGTCAACCTGCCTCTCCAATTATTCCCCCCGGCTATTCATGATTCATTCATTCGATCGTTCGCTCCTTCGTTCGTTCGTTCATTCATTTATTCAAGTATTCATTCATTCATCCATCCATTCATTCATTCATTCACTCACTCATTCATTCATTCGTTCGTTCGTTCATTCATTCATTCATTCGTTCGTTCGTTCATTCATTCCTTCATTCATTCATTCTTTCGTTCGTTCATTCATTCATTCGTTCGTTCGTTCATTCATTCGTTAGTAAGTTAGTTCATGAAACAGTATCGGCAGCGTAGCAGCTGGTAGCTTCCTTTGCACTTCATGGATGTTGGATCCCATTGCGATGTAAAATGTTTTATCGGCTACAATTTCTTTTTGGCGAAAGCTTCACGACACTGCTTCAGTGAACCAGCTGAGAATGGGGTAGCAGGTTTTGACCTGCGAAACATGGGGATGGCATGGCGTTATTGTGTGATCATGTCAAAGCATTTGATTCCTAATATCATGCTGTCAGATGTGTGTCTTACGACGACATTTCTTCTCGACCCGCTTGATACGGTTGAAGAAATAGAACCTTGTTGATTCGTCGTTTCGCTCGAGCAATTGTCTTTTCGAGCATTCATCCCGTTCATTCCTTGCATCCATGCAGTCCTGCGTCATTTTTTCATCCACATGCTAAATAAATGCCCATGGCTTGAAGTTGTCTTGAAAATTGCGTTGACCAGAATTTAATGCCTTCCTCTCTAAAAGTACGAAAACAAATAAACAAATATAAATGTGCGTCGCTATGAGCAAGTGAAAAAGTAAGGACAGGAACACGGGCAAAAGTGAGGCGCAACACCGCGTGAAATCTGGCTTTTTATGAATAATTCATTACGAGTGTTATTGCTGTTATTAGATTTCGTAAAATCAGTGAAATTGACGTCTTACTCCATCGACGTTGAGCGAATGTAGAAAAGAGAAAATTTCTGAAATTATATATCTCCTTGTTTTATAATGCGTCAGGCCTGTTTAGAAAGTAAATAGCATAAGAAAAATTTAATCGATTATGTGTATGCAAGTTGTTCTCATTTGGGAAGTGAGACAGAAGCTTGCTCCTGTAGGTTGAGGCAGCCACTTGGTAACGATATCTGTTCTTGACCAAAAATTCATGATTGGTTCTACTTCCTTGAATCCGTTGGGTTCGGTGAACATTGGGACGAAATTGACAACAAATAACGAGGTTTGAGACTTCCAATGAACTGCCCAAAAAATCATAGCAAATAACACTCAATAAGAGAGGAGGCTAAACGAGGGTCGGCTTGCATTCGTGAAACGTCCATGACAGAGACAAATCGAATGAA